AGTGGAGTTGGTGTTGTTGTTGGCTGTTTTTTTTTCTTAACATACAACAAAGAATAGTAAAAGCAGAAAAAATAACTTGAATTTCCAGATTTTGTCAAAACCAAACCGAAAAAAATCCTCAACAATAAAACTACGTTAAAACGTCATTTGATATCTGAGCACGCGAGCTTTACAAGATATACAATTTTGTTGTTGTTGCTGTTACTGTTGTGGTTATGGCAGTTTGGTTCTTAAGAAGTATAGAAGAAGTACAGGAGAAACAAAATAAAAAAAAATCGAAATCTCAAGAAAAACCAAAAAACCACAACTTTATTTGCAGCTCCAACATGGCTGGCTGGTTGGCTGGCTTGTTTGTCTTCCAGTGATTATGGATCACTGGTAGTTTTAAATAAAACCGTACACATACACCCAAACAGCTCACAAAATACACATGTATATACACATTTACAAAAGTGGGCGTGTAAGGCCTATTAATATGCCATAAGATACAATATTATGCTTAGCATAAAAATTGATTGTGTCTTGAAATGCAGGCACAACAGGCAAAAAGCAAAAAAAAAAAAAGAAATAAAAAGCCAGCATCAACTGGAGCACCAGGCAGGCAGCCAGGCAGTTAATATGGGCACGCGACAAACACACTTCGAGAACGAGAAACTACTTGGAACTGGTTAAGGAACCTAAAAAAGGCAAAAGCTTTACGGTTTTCATGTTGGAGTTTTTTGTTTTTCAGTTTATGTATGTGCCGTTTGTTATGTTTTTGTGTGTCTGTCTTTCGGTTTTGGTGGGGTTTTTGGTTGTTTGAGTTTTTTCACGTTATTTTTTTTTTAGACAAACCCATTTTCTAATTGACCTTAAGTGTTAAAAAGAGTTAAAGTGGGGCCAAACGCAAAAAAACGGCACAATAAATAATGATAGTAAATTATGAACATAAAATAGTAGTTTACATGAATTAGAGTATTTAAATTGTGGGGGTTTTGGGAGGAAATTAAGAACTTTATTGGTGTTTTTTTTGGTGTTTTTAGGAATTATTGGGTTATTTGGTGCAAGCCTAAAAGTATGCAGCAATGGAAAATGAGAAATTGAGAAATTGAAGAGTGTTATATTTAAAATGATATAGTATTTTATACCAATTACTTAAATCAATTTTTTTAAAAAATACTTCTAAAATAATGTCTAAACATATGTTTATAAGTAGGCAACAAATCCTCTAAGTAGGTAACAAATTCTAATTTATAGTTAGTGCCCAAAATTGGGGATTGATCTCCTTTAGAAAAAATCGATTTCTGAATAAGAATTCTCTTAATTTTTTTAAGTCTTTACGATTTTGAGTTTAAATCCTTATCCTTTATTAAAAAAATAATATTTTACTCCTTTGTCATAGTCCTTTACTGCATCTCAACACAACACTTTGGACACTAAGTACATGGGAATTGATTATTGAATGACATGGAAATCTTGCAAATCATTATATTGCCTACTTTTAGGGTGATAATGTAACGTGGTTCCATGGTATATATTAAGGAAAAGTTTCAAACAATAGGCTTATAATATTATTTTTAGTATACCATATTTTATAATGCATACCAGTTTTCTTTTGTTTTTAATAAATTAAGGCATATCCTTTATTTTATATTTAAAAAAAATTCCATATTATTATAATTCTTACAAAACTTTTCTAAATTGCCATTTACGTTTTTTACAAAAAATACACAAAAAGTATATAAAATACACCTCTTGTCGAAAATTTCAAGCCGACATTGCCAAGACCGTCCATTAAGATTTTTTTTGTGTACAGTATCTAATGTTTAGCTAACGGTTATTATTTAAATAATATTGGTAAATGACCACCAGCAGCAGTAACAACAACAACACCAACTGTTTGGCTTTATTTAATTGGTGGTCAATAAGATTTTGTGGTTTTTTGGTTGTTGCTGCCGCTGCTGTTTGTTTTGAATTTCGCAACAGTTCCCAGTTTTGTGTTTACATTTTTTCTATATTTATTTTTCAATTACAATAATAAAAATGTAACATAAAATATTTATGTCTACTATAAAAAAATAAATGAACTAAGATTTGTGGTAAGCAGAGGTAAAAATGAATTAAAATATTTTTTTTTATTTGTTAATTATGCAGTGTGGAGTCTGATTTGATTTTATGACTCATTTATAATAAGCTGGTTAGTGTAAAAAATAAGAAACCAAACGGAGTGGGGTTCTTAAGAATTTAACAGCCAACATAAATGTACCCTACAGTGGGGCAAACAAATTAATGAAATAAAATTCTAAATGATAGAGAAAAATTATGATGTTGATAGCATACCACATATAGTTTTTAATATTAGTATCTACGTAAAAAATATTAATTTCACATATTAATTATGCCTAATATATTTACAGAGTTTAATAAAAAATTAAGAGCCTAGGACTCAATTTCTGTAGTGCAATTCTGTTCTAAGAATGCGAAAAAAAAAATAAATTCTACGTTTACAATTCAGTTATCTCTAATATATTAAGGCAGTTGAATAGAAGATCTTAAAAATTTTTAATAAATCTAGGATTAAATTTTTCTTCAAGAAAAAAATGAATTGAACAGAAAACATGAATTGTTACTATTTTCTACAAAACATTTAAATGAAAACTTCATATTTTAAATAAATTGGGCGCCAATCAATACTTATCACTATGAATTACTGCAATTTTTTGTATATCCAATTTCTCAGTTCGTTTGAGTATCTTTCCAGTTAATGTTCAGTTATCTAAGACCTATAAAACTATATATTTTTTAAAGTTTTTACTACTTCGACCATTACCACCATCATTTCCACTATCATCACCATGGTCTACACCACCTCCAATCGTCTTAGGTTCCTGCCATTTTTTGTAATTTAAGATATTTTCTTGTCGAAGAAGTATCAAAAATTATTGATAATGCAGTTCTTTTTTATTGTAATTGGATATCTAAGCTGATTATTGCCATAATAAAATTACACCATAGAGACGATGACTGTGGCGCGTAGATTATTTGATTGCTGATGGTTAATTCGTAGCCAATGAATGATGTGACAAGAATTATCGCAGGTGTGAATAATGCTTTAGTAAGCATTAATTGTTTTTTTTTAGTTCTACTTTAGAAAAGGTGTATAAAAATATGAAATGATGATTTTGAAAAAACAAATAATAATTTCCAGTCATAAAAAATATTATGCAATGTCAGCAAGAACATTTTAAAAGGCATAAAAATAATGATAGGGATTGAATTGGATCCTCTCCATACAATTTGAGGTCAATGACACAATGGCCCTTTTAATGAAATACTACAATAAAAATAGGGTGAATAAAACCTTAGACATCTAACAATATCACTTGTAAAACAAAATTTGTATTTGAAAAAAAAATCAAAATTAAGGAAAATATATATATTCCCTTAGTATTAGTATTTCATTTCATTAATTTGAAAGGGCCAAAAGAACTTTGTCCATTTAGGAAAGACCACAAATAAAAGAACATGTCATAAAAGATGACTTCGAATAATCCAGAACAGTATGTTAAGCGTCTACATAGTATTTCAATATTTCTGACAATATTTCAAAGAACATGGCACCAAAAATGACGTTTTATGTTTTCAATATGTTATTTTTGGCAATAATTCAAATTAGTGGCGCCCAACGTGTGGGAATCTGTACCCATAAATTACCGATTTGAGACATACTCATGCATAAAAGTCAACATTAACAATGATTTATAATTTTTTAGCAGCAGCGCCCAATGTGGTGCACTTTTTATAAAGGAAAAAATCAGGAATATTATCAAAATTTAAAATAATGCCACCTAATGCGAATTATTGTGTTCTTAGAATTTCTACTTGGCTTGCATTAACTAAAGTGGCGCCCAACGAATGACAGTTTTTTTTTCGTAAAAATCAAAATTTGCGTTAAGGGTTTGCCATCATTCAAAAAATCCAAATTTCCAATATGATTTTGAATTTTTGGTAATTTTTTACGAAGTAGCACCCAACGTGGAGCACTTTTTATAAATGAAAAAATCCTAAAAGAGTATTTCGTGATTTAGTTTATTTTTAAAAGCTATCCAAAAACATAATACCCCGTAAATTGTTTCTGTAAGCTCAAGTCATAAGGGACAACAAATTAGAACTTCCAAACATTAAACAAAAAATCGCGAATTCATAATCTTCAGATTTAGCCCCTAATAATAATAATTTCATATGCAAAACCCTAATTAAGAAGTTATAGATCAAATCTTTTTTTAGGGATCTCGACAAATCCTGAAACCCAAGAAACTTAGTTATTGGGTGAATTTTGAAAAATATTTTTTATTGCATAATTTATGGAATGATTATTTTGCCCTGGTATATAATTACATTTCAGAATAATGCAAGAACATTTTGAAAATATTGTTTTGAATATCCTTAAAAATATTTATTTACCCGCAATATTGTATATGTTGGTGTTCAAGACCAGCCTTATTCAAAAGTAGTTTTGATCTGAACTTGCTTACTCACAACTGCGCATGTCTGGTTGATACATACAATATTATATCAGCTGATGAATTTCACAATACTTTCAATTGGTTACAAATTTTGTGAATATTTTTTGAAAATTATTATACAAAAATTTATAAATAATATATTTAAAATTATTATTTAACTAAGGAAAATATTTTTGATGGGTTTTTAATTTTAGTGAAAATTCGTATATAAAAAATATATATTTTTTATTCCTATTAATTTTTCATTTTTTTTTTAATTTTTGGAAGAGAAAAAATATTTAACCTATTTTTTTAAAAAGCCTTCATTTTTATCTCAATAAAAAATATTAATATTTTTTTATTTAATAAATATTATGTTTGTTTTAAGATTTTTATGAACAATTATTCCTAGTAAATAAAATTTATTTGAATACTCCTTTTATGGCAAATAAACTGTAATTCCCAGTTTTTAAATTCAAAATAAAAAATTATAATAAAAATAATACTGAAACTTACCACTGTTAACCGAATAACGATACAATGCTTCGTACAGTGCCATTACCATTCCCGGCACCAAAGGACTTTGCATTGGGGTCTGTGTCGCTGATGAGGTGGTATTTGGTGAAGCTTGCAATGAACTAGCAGCACTGTTGGTGCCATCTGAGGAGGTGTTGCCACCAGATGAGACCGTATCATCGGCACCACCCTCCGGCAAATAAAAGGGCACAGCCATTGTGTAATAATGTGACAATTAAATAATAGATATCGTAATGATTCCGATGGCAATGATCCTGATGACGATGTATTTCGTTGACAACAGCAACAACAAAACTGAATTGGCAAAAAATGTTTGTTGTCCTTGTTGCTGTTGCCTATCAAATTAATGGGTGTAACAGAAATGTTTTCTTGTTGTTATGTTTGTTTGTGATGGCAGTATTTTGTAAGGAATAAAATCCTTTTTGTATTTTCTTATTATTATTTTTTTAATTATTGTTGGTTGTCGTTAACTTTCCTTTTTGTGACTTCTCTTGATATGTTCAGAGAATTTCATCAATTTTTTCTTCTGATAACTTGTTTACATGTTTTTGTTTTTAATTTTTTAAAATAATTTTCAGTAGTTTATTTTTTGCACTGTTTATTTTTTTTGTAACTGATTTTTATTTCACAAATTTTTCTTATATTTTGTTTTTATTTTTGCACAATTTCTTTTTCACAAAAGTCGTGTTTAGTACAATTGCTTGAATTGTTTAACTAATTTGTTTTAATTATTAATTATTTTATGTTATATGTTTTTTATTTTGTTCACATAAAAAATATTGTTTGTTTTGATTTCGGGGCACTTTGCGCTATTTTTTCGTAGTTTTTTTGTTTGTTGTCTTTTTCTTATTCTTCTGGTTAGGGTCAGTGATTTTTCTTAAAAAACAGAAATCTTAACTAAAAAGCACTTAAAACGTCGTCGAACGTATAGATAAATTACAACAACACACGTCTTACTCGCTTCGTAGCTCGAATACAACTGCTGGTAATGTGGCTAGGAGCCTCACACCATACCCGACCGATTGGGGAGCACTTTTGCTTATTGTCGTCGTCTCTACTCTACTCTGCAGTGCAGCACACAGACACACAGTGCAATAAGAACGACGACAGAACAACAACAACAACAGCACACCGACGACGACAACAACAACGACACCGACACCATACTAAACACCGAGCAGCCACAGAATTATAAAAAAATCATCATCAACTCACAATAAAAAACAATGCAAACACACTCACACACACAGGCTTACTCAGTCACAACGAACAGGCTGGCTGGTTGGTTAGCTGCGAGAACGAGAATTGTGAACCAGCAACAAAAATCACAAATGAATACAACAACAGCAGCAACAACAACATATAAACAGAACACAGCACAAGACTCAGAGATCTCAGATGTTAGGTAGGCTGGCTGGCTCACAACAAAACAGTGCATCGGGTTAGTGCAACAACGACAACCAAATCATGCACGCAACATAGCCAAACAAAACAAGTCAATGCACAACACATACAGCAACAACAATAACACCAACAAATATCTTAACCATGCATCCATCTATCCATCCAAAATCGACAAAACAGAACCAGTAATGTTGTGCTGATGATGATGATGACGATGGAGAAGAAGAAGAGATATCTCAGAGGCAGACAAACAACAACAAAACCAATTCTGATTCAGCGGAGCTGTGTGTTAATAAAGCAAGACGAGGCTCTGATTAATCAAACTTAGAATTGTCGAAACTAACATAAAAAAGAGATATTAAACGAGAAAGAGAGATAGAGAACATAAATGAGAGAGAGTTCATTTCTTATTTGGCATAGGCCTATAAACATTGAAAATAATTACACGGTGCTACCAAACTTGAGGGATATCCAATCCAATTAAAAAAACTATATCCGAACTGAAGCCATATTTATGGTATTTATTGAGTTGAGTTCATTGAAGTTGCTTCTGGACCTAAAATATTTTATATGGGTTCTGTTTTGGACCCTATATTATTGAGATATTTACTAAAATAACTTGGCTGAATTATATTTTTTTATAGAAAACCATAGCTTCACATAGAAAAAAATTGCTGATTTACGAAGTTCCACTGAAACACGATAGTAAATAGAAAAATGATAGAAATACTTTTCTTGGGTTTTCTACAGAAAAAGCTAGCTGAATTGGGAAAATATCATGTTTATTTGAATTTTTAACAGAAAAATGTAGCTGAATTGAGTTGACTACAAAAAGAAAAAAAAGCTGAATTGGAAATTTTGACATAAATGTTCGACTTTTTCAATAAGAAATCATGGCTGAATCAGTGCTTTATACGCAGAAACATTGCTGAATAAGGTTAATCTTAAAAAACGTTAGTAAATAGACTTTTCAACGCCCAATTTCAGCCCAGCTGAATTGATTTTTTTCAACGAAAAACATAATTTTAACTGAATGGGTTTTCTGAATTAGAATTTGTTAATAGAAAAACTTCCCTGTATTCTGATTTTTTATGATAAACTTAGGTGAATTCATTTCTCTTATAGAAAAATGTGGCTGAATGGATTTTTCTGCAGCATTCTCTTTATTTTTTAATAAAACTTAACTAGATTTTTACACCAACTCATTGCTGAATTTAATTTTCCCATAGAAAAACATTAGTTAGTTAATGATTTTCTTAGCTGAATTGATATTTTCTATATTAATGTGTATTCATGTCTAGTAAAACCTTACTTAATTATTATATTTACATAAATCCATTGCTAAATTAAATTTTTTTCCGTAGAACAAAAAAAAAATTCGAATTTATGATTTTCTAAGCTGAATTGAAATTTTTTTAGAAAATTTTAGCTGAATTATGCTTCTCAATTAACATTTCTACTAAATTGATTTTTTCTATAAAAAAAAACATTGCTGAATATATATTATTTAAAGAAAAATTAGCTGAATACACTTATTTCCATGAAACTATTCCTTGAATTATTATTGTTTTTCTGAAAAACATAGCTATATTAGTTTTTCAATTCATATTGAGACTATCCATCTCAAATTGTTGTTCATTATCTGCCAAACTTGTGTACCAGTCAAAATTGTTCAGAAAATTCGGAAGTAAAATGGAAGAATTCCTTGTTCAAATTGTCAATTCAAGCTGTATAACTGCAATTCTATTTTCAGTTACTGTGACATTCTTTTATTTTTTGAGCACCACTGATTTAGTTCTACTGCCCTCCTTCATATTGAGCGCAACTTCTCTACTCTCATTTAAAACTGTAGCCCAGTGTTATATATGGAAACTGATTCTGATAATCATTGCCGTACTTGTTGTTGTTGCTGCTGATATTCTACAGATGATGATTTTTGGTTCATTTGTTTCCTCAAAATTTTAATAAGAGCGAGCCCCTAATTTTCTATCTCTGCCCTAACTGAGAGCAGCAGCGACAGGACAGAATTACTTCTTAAATGATTTTTTTTTAATTTGCCGTTGTTGTTGTTGCTATAGCAGGTATAAACATGTATTTAATCAGTGTAAAATTGTTGTTGTTGCTGTCGCCGCTGCCAAACGTGCCAACAAAATAACAGCAGCATTACCACCACCACCATTAATAGCAGGAACAGCAACAACAATCATCCATCCAACGAATGCTTAAGCAAAACAAAACATACGATTGCAGGTTTTTTCGCTTGTTTTGTTTTGATATTCACATTTGTCTTCATCGGTGTTTATGGATTGTTGTTGGCTGCCAGCTTGCTTGCTTGCCAGGCCGTTCGTTCGTCCGTCTGTCATGCATCCAGCCGCTAGCTGGCTGGCTTGCCCGTCAGCTAGTTGGCTGCTAAAACACAAATTTAAAGAATATAAACAAAACTACAAAAACAAAAAATATACACACACAAACAGAGTGTATCTGTGTGAGCTGTGCGGCTGTGTTAGTGCGTGTGTGTGAGAGTATCGTTGTGTGTTGTTTGAGATTTGTTGTGTAGAATAGGAGCACAACAAATAAGAATGAGATACCATGACCAAAGAGAAAATGTGATTTAAATATTAATTTTTAAGAGCAGCAAAGAGCCAGCTAATGGCGCAAAAAGGTAGTAGAATTGAAATGGTAGTAAGAAAATAGTAGTTAAAATGGAAAATTAATGCTAATAATTTATGAATTAATTTTCAAATAAAAATAACGAAATTCGTTTGAATTTTTTGAAAATTCGTATAGGTTTCCATTTAGATCCAAAATTAATAAATTATAAATATTATTATTAAAGTATTACAACAATGAACTTTCTTATACAATCACAAAAAAAAATAACATCAAAGTCCAAAACATAAGCGCCTTATTATCAACCTTCTAATATCAACATTAAATGCATTGGCCTAGCCAGCCCTTTACATTGGTCATAGCCAAATGGTGTTTACTATCGGATCGCGAATCTTTTCACAATGCCAGAAGCGATATTGTAATATGTTTGTTTGTATTAAACCGAAAAAACACAACAGCAAAAAATGATGTCTAAAGGCAATGATTTCTTCCTAGAGTTTTCCCAGTTGTGTGTTTGAGATTTTCATGGAAAAAGTCAAGGAAAATTAGCCGACTACATACTAGATGATGGATAAATGCATATCAAATGTTAAAACAAACAACGGAAAATCTACAAACAACAACAACAGCAGCAGTTCGAACTAATAATATGTTGCCAGAATGAGGGGTAATGGATCCAAAGATCTTTTAGCACATTATAAATGTTTATTTAAACAAAAAATGAAAAAAAACACAAACAACAAAATTGCAATGCTCTATTAATTGTTGACCTCAAAGTTGCCGACGTAGTAGCCGGCTGCAGAGAGATTCTGCGTTTAGGGATCAAAGTCAATTTGATAGCGATCGATCAATAGCATATTTAGGGGTAACATAGGATGTGTCATAAAATGTCATACATTTTTGATTATGGAAATACGAGAGTTGTTTCACCCTGGTTCAACTCCTGTTCGGCGAACAGAAGTGTAATAATTTCGCTTCAGAGTAATCGAACTCTCATTGTGCCATTTACAAAATTGTGGACTTATGTCTAGAAATAAACTGTTCAAGCTGTTCACCGAAACGAATATTTTTCTCGAAGATCAGTACAGTGATGCTTAGAGTATGTGGGTGCTGTAAACACCAGTATATACAAATACAAATCGTCAACCAACGCCTCCACACCAAAATACAGGTACAAATCGATCACACGT